TCCTATATTCATTACACTGCCTAATCAAATGCCTGCTCGAACAATTAGGTCTACACTTTCCTCTGAAATGCCAGTAGGGAGGGGGCCGATACAATATCTGTAGGAAGGGCATTCCACAGCCGAGGGGCCACCACTGAGAAGGCCCTGTCTCTCGTCCCCGCCAGGCGTGCCTGTGTTGCAGGCGGGACTGAGAGCAGGGCCTCCCCAGATGATCTTAATGTCCTAGCTGGTTCATAGGAAGAGATGCCCTTTCAGCTTCAAAGCTTGGCTGATTGCTGCCTAGGGCGTCCTCTGTTTGGAGGTGTTAGCTGGCCCTGATTGATTGTTGTCTGGAATTCCCCTGTTTGCAGCATTCACACTTGCCTCAAGACGGGAAGAGTTCTTTCTCCCACCTTGGACATTCCACAGATATATAAACCTCACTTTCCTAGTTTCCCAACAGTCCTCACAACCTCTGAGGATGCCTGCCATAGATGTAGGTGAAACGTCAGGAGAGAATGCTTCTGGAACATGGCCATACAGCCCAGAAAATGCTAAGCAACTCATAAAATGATGATTTTCCACTTTCTGCTACCTATCTGGCAGTACATTAGAGTCTTGCTTATTCAACCTTCACTCATCCAACGTTCTGTATTACCCAATGCAGTCTGCTGTAGTCATTGTTTTCAATATATTGTGATGTTTTGGTGCTGAATTTGTAAATACAGTAATTATTACATAACATTACTGTGCATTGAACTGCTTTTGCTGTCACTTTGGTGTAAATCATGATGTTTTGGTACTTAATTTGTAAAATCAAAACGTAATTTAATAGACTTTTCCTTAATCCCTCCTTATTATCCAACATTTTGCTTATCCAAACTTCTGCCAGCCTGTTTATGCAGGATAAGCAAGACTGTGCTGTATTTTCCTGGCCCAAAAAGAGTATTTGCAAGGTAATTCTACCTATTTAAAAATCTTGAGAGGCAAAGAGACTCATGTAAAATTAAATGCCAGCAATAAACACTTTCTCAGCCAATTTTGTAGTCAAACTCAAGTCCATGCTACATATTTAGCAGAATATGACGATAGAATTCTAAAATGGTCGGACAAATGGTCCAACCTGTCACTCAGCACTGAAGGCGTCCGAATCCATTTTTAAAATGTTCCTCCCTGTGTAAACTTTTAAATATATACTGCCTCGGCAGTGGTTCTACTTGATCTTTTTTATTTGTACTATCTTTAAAAAAGAATTTGATGGAAAGAATAATTAAAAATGTCATCTTCTAATATTAGAATCGTTATTTTAGAAGACTTGGACTCAATATCTCCCAATAAAACTAGTTTGGACCAGTGGGGTCGGTTAAAATCTTCTTATCCAGACAGGCTTTTCAAGAAGAACATTTTAAAGATCAAGTCAGGGGCTGCTGTGGTTTTTAGTTTTGAATGTGTTTTTATGGATTTTAACTGATTTAAAAAAAATACCAATGATATTTATTTCTATTTTAATGTTTGTATATTTGCACATTTTAAATCGTATTGAAATGCTTGTATGTAAGCCCCTTTGAGATCCTTGTGGAGAGAAAAAGAGAGGTATAAATAACAACAATATACGTTATGCCCAATGTAAATGTCTCAAGCCATAGTTGAGAACCCAAACTTTTAACTACAATAGACAATAGACTAGTCATAGTTTAATGCTTATCATCTGCTTTTCTTTTTCTTCCTCCTAATTATCTCTGTGTTGTGGTTCAGCCAGTGGATGACGATGAGAGGATTGTTATTCTAGGGCCTGGGAGAGTGGTGGGTTTTTCAATGAGGGAAATGAAGGGACTTTAGATCTTGCCTGTGTGAATGGGCTTGAAAGTGAAATTGCCCCAGAGTCCAGCAGACAGGGTGATGCACTGGCTGGTGAAGACATTTCGCCTACTCGTCTCATAGCAACCCCAGATAAAAAGTTGGATGGGTGAGAAAGTATGTCTGAAAACACACCTGCGGTCAGCAGAAATCTCAGACTTTGTCTTAGGGAAAAAGTAAGCAAATTAAGAAGATCACAGAGACCTAAGAGAAACAGCAGTGTGAGAAATCTCACAGGCAAGTCAAGGTCACAGGCATGACCTCATGGCTCATGGACCTCAAATCAGAAAAGTGTTCCTTTTGAAATTCAGATCAGGCAACACTGCATAGCAGTGAGGATCTCAAACCTTGTTTCCAGTCTGTTTTGAATCTCAGATCTTGGGAATTTGGATTCATGTTTTAAGAAGTTTTTATAGTCTTGCTTTTGGGTTCATGTTCATGTTTTGATTCTTGTTTTTCTAGATGTATGCTCATGTTTTGTTTTTGTTTTTCCTGTACTATATTTTATGGAACGGATTTGGACTGTTTGGAGTATTACCTTTGGAGTGTTTTTTCTTGCTATTGTCAGTTTGGTTTGGCTTATTACTTATTGACTAGTGACTTTTCCCTTTTATATGTATATGTATAAACTGTTTTACTACTACTTTTGGATTCCTGGCTGGTGTTGAGGGCAAGGTGAATTGTGGCTGGGGTGCAACACTCAGCACATCTGACCCTACAAGAAAATACAGACACCCTTCAGTTACCAAAGTGTCTGACAAAAGAGCCCCTTTTTACAGAGTCACTTTTTACCTAGCCTTCCCCCTTTTCTCCTTTTCTGTCTAGCTAGATTTTGTTTAGTGACCATATACTTCTTTCTTGTTGTTCCTCCCATAATGTTGTCATCATACTGCACTTCCCTCCACATTTCCAAAGGCCTTTCTCCACTATTCTGTCCCCTACGAGCTCCTCCCTTACAAATATCTTTTTAAAATTTTAATCTCATCTAGAGTTTTATCATTTTATGTCGTACATTTGGCCCACCCATTGTGTTTGATTTTTCATTTTGTTACTCTGCACTGTTTTATTGTACTTATTTTATTGTGATGGAATTTTTGTCTTTCTGTATCTATTTTGCTGTAATGTATTACCGGGCTTGGCCTCATGTAAGCCGCCCCGAGTCCCCTTTGGGAAGATAGTGGCGGGGTATAAAAAAGTTTATTATTATTATTACAACTACTAGCCGTCCCCTTCAACGTGTTGCTGTGGCCCAGTCTGGTGATCTGGAAAATAAAGTAATGAGAAAGTCTTGGTTTCTAATATATGTAATTTCTTTATGCTTGTGGGTAAACAGTATTTGATTACGTTTTCTTGCCCTGGTGAAGGGAGTTGGACTGGATGGCCTTAAGTATTTTCTATTGGTCATAGGGTTCTGTGTGGGAAGTTTGCCCCAATTCTATCATTTGTGGGGTTCAGAATGCTCTTTGATTGTAGGTGAACTATAAATCCCAGTAACTACAACTCCCAAATGTCAAGGTCTATTTCCCCCAAGCTCCATCTGTGTTCCTAGTTGGGCATATGGAATATTTGTGCCAAGTTTGGTCCAGATCCATCATTGTTTGAGTCCACAGTGCTCTCTGGATGTAGGTGTACTACAACTCCCAAACTCAACGTCAATGCCCACCAAACCCTTCTAGTGTTTTCTGTTGGTCATGGGAGTCTTAACTGCCAAGATTTGGTTCAATTCTATCATTGGTGTAGTTCAGAATGCTCTTTGATTGTAGGTGAACTATAAATCCCAGCAACTACAACTCCCAAATGACAAAATCAATTTTTGAGTGATGGTCACTCCTTGGGTTAGTAGGTGTCTTGTGTCCAAATTTGGAGTCAATTCATCCAGTGGTTTTTGAGTTTTGTTAATCCCACAAACAAACATTACATTGTTATTTATATAGATATTATTATAATTAGAATCATAGAATCATAGAAGATGAAGAGACCTCATGGGCCATCCAGTCCAACCCCCTGCCAAGAAGCAGGAATATGGCATTCAAATCATCCCTGACAAATCATCCCTGACAGATCATAACTGTAATTTTGCTACTGTTATGAATCATAGTGTAAATATTTGATATGCAGGATGTATTTTCATTCACTGCACGAAATTTGGCACAAATAGAATCATAGAATCATAGAGTCAATGACTTGGAAGAGACCTCATGGGCCATCCAGTCCAACCCCCTGCCAAGAAGCAGGAATATTGCATTCAAATCACCCCTGACAGGTGGCCATCCAGCCTCTGTTTAAAAGCTTCCAAAGAAGGAGCCTCCACCACACTCCGGGGCAGAGAGTTCCACTGCTGAACGGCTCTCACAGTCAAGAAGTTCTTCCTCGTGTTCAGATGGAATCTCCTTTTTGTAGTTTGAAGCCATTGTTCCGCGTCCTAGTCTCCAAGGAAGCAGAAAACAAGCTTGCTCCCTCCTCCCTGTGGCTTTCTCTCACATATTTATACATGGCTATCATATCTCCTCTCAGCCTTCTCTTCTTCAGGCTAAACATGCCCAGCTCTTTAAGCCGCTCCTCATAGGGCTTGTTCTCCAGACCCATTATTATAATTATTAGTGTTGGCAGTGGAAGGATAGGAAGTCAATTGTCACAGACTTTCAGTATTCAGCTGCAATACTGTGGCTGTGATAAACAATGCGAGTAAACAAAGTTTGGGATTGGAAAAAGTGGAATCATTCCTTAGCCTGTCTTTGCTGCATGTGTGAACAGCAAACCAGAAAGAAAATGTGACAACAGATAAGCATAGATCTATAAGTTTAGCCATCAAAATGAAAGTGATAAGGGAAGTAGAGGAATAAACAAGCCACCTGAAGTGCAATTTGGAAGAAGCCTTGTAATGGTACCTGGAAGATTCAAATAGTTCTTTTCTTATATATGCAAAGCTTACCTAACCTGGTTGCTTTCATTTCATGTGGGCATATTGTTGGTGTTGGATAAAACTTTGTTGACTCATGCTGAACTGCATTGTGTGGGAACCTTTCTGTATTCTTTCCATGTAATTTCTGCCTCTGGCACCAAATTTCCTGTTAAAGTAGTGCTGTGGAATGCCTCTCCTTTGTTAATGGAGGGGTACCTGTACTTTTTCCCGGCTACTAACACTGATTGTGCTTTCTCTACAGGTTCTGTTCTGGATGTTATTAAACACATTGTGGCCAAAGGGGAACATAAGAACGGAGTCCTGGACGAACCTGTAATAGCCACAATCCTGAGGGAAGTGTTGGAAGGACTGGAATACTTGCATAAAAACGGGCAAATCCACAGGTAGATCTTTGACTATTACATTTATAACTTTTTGTTTACTTGCACTTTTAATTAAGCCAAAGTGATTCACAATCTGTCTCCTTTGCAAGATAGGTTATATTTATTTCTGTCTGCCTTACAACCACAAATCATAGGGTTGAAATATCGTGGGACTGTTTCTCTCCTTGGCTTGGAAAGTATGCTTCTATTAAAACAGCCTTTGTCATCTTTGATGCAGCATCACACTGCTGGCTTCAGTTCAATTTGCAATGGATGATAATCCCCAAATCCTTTTCACAAGTTATATCGAACGACTATGTATCCATTATCCTATACATATGTATTTGTAGTTTTTTTGTCATGTTAGTGGCTGAGACTGACTTTTAAAGTTTGAGCTAGTATTCAAATCCAGACTTATTTATTTATTTATTTATTATTTACAGCTTTTATATTCTGCCCTTCTCACCCCGCAGGGGACTCAGGGCGGATTACAGTGTACACATATATGGCAAACATTCAATGCCAATTTTTGACATACAAACATATACAGACATACACAGAGGCTATTTAACTTTTTTTCTGACCGCCAGGGGAGCTGTCGCTTTCATCGTCCATCTGCGACGCTGATGAAGCACTTCCGCATTCCCCGCATGCTTCCCCACTGGAATGCTTTGCTAGAGTCTTCTTTTATGGCCTCATAAATCAGTTAATTTAACCTCCCCACACTTTAAGGTGGTACCTTATTTTCCTACTTGACAGATGCAACTGTCTTTCGGGTTGCAAAGGTCGACAACAGGCTACACACAATTGGTTGGAAACCCACTCCAACCCGGGCTGGCTTCGAACTCATGACCTTTTGGTCAGAGTGATCTTAGTTGTTCTGAAATTTGGCCATCTGTGCTTTACTCTGTTGCATTTTGCCCTTGCTGTTGTAATTCCTCCTCATGAAAGCTGCATCTTCCAAACTTTGCTTCATCTTGACCTGGAAAGTGACTAGATATGTGTTGCTGAAGGCTTTCATGGCTGGAATTACTGGGTTTCTGTGAGTTTTCTGGACTGTATGGCCATGTTCCAGAAGCAGTTTCTCCTGACGTTTCGCCCACATCTAAGGCAGGCATCCTCAGAGGTTGAGGAGCCTGTGGGAAACTAGGCAAGTGAGGTTCATATATTCATGGAATGTCCAGGGTGGAAGAAAGAAGGTAGGCATGAATGTAGCAATTGGCCACCTTGATTAGCATTTAATGGCTTCTTACTGCCTGGGGGAATCCTTTTGGAGGTGATTAGTTGTCCCTGATTGTTTCTTGTCTGGAATTCCCCTTTTTGAGTGTTGTTCTTTATTTACTGTTATTATTTTAGAGTTTTTAAAATACTGGCAGCTAGTATTAAAAATCAGGGCCAATTAATCACCTCCCAACAAAGGAGTCCCCCAGGCGGTAAGAAGCCACACCTTGAAAACTGATAGGCCCAGGGGCGGCTCGTGCATTACGTGAAGTAAGCGGTCGCAGAACACTTTTTTTGCCAAGGGCGCAGATGCGCCTCTGTAAATGCCCCTTGACCGCCACTTGAGGAGCTCCCTCTCAGCTCACAACAGCCCTAGCAGTCCGCGGGGAGCCTCGGTTTTCTTGCCTCGCTGCTGGGCGATCCTCTTCCCAAAGGGGCCGGGCCCTTGAGCCTCGCCTAGCCCCTCTCGTTCCTGCTCCACCCGGCCACTGGGTGCGCGAGCAGAGCCGGCGCTCAATCGTTCTCCGCGTTCGATCCCTTCCCCATGACCGGCTCCCTTTCCCGATCCCCCGGCGCTCCACTCCTCCTCTCCCCAATCCGCGGGTGGGCCAAGGGGCGGAGCTGCCGCGCCTGGCCCGCTTCGGGTCCAGAGGCATGTCTGAAGACCCCAGCATGCGCACCAAAAGTCGCCTCTTCTCCTGACTTTCTCTTCAGCCATTGGGACCAAGAGAGAGAGAGAGAGAGAGAGAGCCCCTCCGGCTGGAGGTATCTCCCACCTCCGCTCCCTCCTTTGTTTTTGCGCCTACCTTCAGGAAAGGTGGGCATCTCCACCTCTCTCTCTCTCTCTCTCTCTCTCTCTCTCTTGGTCCCAATGGCTGAGGAGAAAGTCAGGAGAAGAGGTGAATTTAGGTGCACACGCCGGGGGCTTCAGGCACGTCTCCGGACCCAAAGCGGGCCAGGCAAGGGAGCAAGTGCGGCAAGTGTAGTTACTGGGATGTATAGTTCACCTACAATCAAAGAGCATTCTGAACTCCACCAATGATGGAATTGAACCAAATATGGCAACAGAACTCCCACGACGAACAGAAAATATATATCAATGATTGGTTGGGGGGGGGGGGGGCCAAAATACTGTTTAATGTATTGTCGAAGGCTTTCATGGCTGGAATCACTAGGTTCTTGTGGGTTTTTTCGGGCTATAGAGCCATGTTCTAGAGGCATTTCTCCTGACGTTTCGCCTGCATCTATGGCAAGCATCCTCAGAGGTGTGAGAAGTCTGTTGGAAGTAGGAAAAATGGGTTTATATATCTGTGGAATGGCTGGGGTGGGGCAAGGAGCTCTTCCCTGCTGCAGTTAGGTGTGAATGTTTAGCTGATCACCTTCATTAGCATTTGAAGGCCTGCCTGAGTCTGGGAAAATCTGTTTCTGGGAGGTGTTAATCTGTGCCTGGTTTTTTCCTCTCTGTTGTTTAGCTGTTATAATTTTAGAGTTTTTTAATACTGGTAGCCAGATTTTGTTCATTTTCATGGTTTCCTCCTTTCTGTTGAAATTGTACACATGCTTGTGGATTTCAATGGCTTTTCTGTGTAGTCTGACATGGTGGTTGTGAGAGTGGTCCAGCATTTCTGTGTTCTCAAATAATATGCTGTGTCCAGGTTGGTTCATCAGGTGCTCTGCTATGGCTGACTTCTCTGGTTGAAGTAGTCTGCAGTGCCTTTCATGTTCCTTGATGCGTGTCTGGGCGCTGCGTTTGGTGGTCCCTATGTAGACTTGTCCACAGCTGCATGGTATACGGTAGACTCCTGCAGAGGTGAGAGGATCCCTCTTGTCTTGTCAAAATACTGTTTGCTTACCGTTGAAAATTAGCTAGGGCCGCCTCTGGATAGGCCATTAAATGCCAGTCGAGGTAGCCAATTACTTCATTCACACCTACCTCAAACAGACAACAGGTGTGAATGTTGCAATTGGCCACCTTGATTAGCTTTGAATAGCTTTGCAGCTTCAAAGCCTGGCTGATCGCTGCCTGGGGGAATCCTGTAAAATCAGAACAGTAAATAAAGAGCAATACTCTCTTTTAGGGGGAATTCCAGACAAGAATCAATTAGGGCCAGCTAACACCTCCCAACAAAGGATCCCTGGTAGGAAGCAGCCAGGCTTTGAAGCTGCAAGGCCATTCAAGGCTAATCAAGGTGGCCAATTGCAACATTCACACTTGCCTCAAGCAGACAAGAGTTCTTTCTCACATCCAGGGTATTCCACAGATTTATAAATCTCACTTGCCTAGTTTCTAACAGACCTCACAACCTCTGTGGATGCCTGCCATAGATGTGGGTGAAACATCAGGAGAGAATGCTTCTGGAACATGGCCATGCAGCCCGGAAAACTCACAGCAACCCAGTGACTCAATAGTGTCAACTCCGTCTGTGAGCCTCTTCTGATGTTGAAATTAAATATGTCTTTCTATGCCAGTTTTTTTCCCTAGAAGTGGCATGTGCGGTTAAAGTGAGCAATAACATGCAGCATGGTGTAAAATCATGATTTATAAGAGATAACATCATATTAGCACTGGGATTCAGGTTGTCTTTGTCCAGAATATCCAGATTAATGTCAGTCCTTCAGTCTGCTGCCGTACAACTGTGTCAGCCACATGCGATGCTGTCTGTGCAGTTTTGCTCCCAGATAGCAAGTAAGATGGGAAAGTGCAAAGCAATTGCATCTAATCCTCTTTGACTTGAAGGGTCTGCTTTCACAAGATATTTTGCTCAACATATAAGCATTTCTTCAAGACTTCAACAGACTCACATTAATGCGGCCACCCATGAAGTATGTATGAATCAAATGTTGCTGTCTGTTGTCTGGAAAATATGGAGCTGATCTTTATTTCTGTTATATTTTTGCTTCTATTGTTATGCACTTTCATGTTGTTTCTGACCTATTGATTTTAAGATGAACCAATAGTAGAATTTTCTTGGCAAAATCTTTCCAGAAGGGCTTTGCCTTTCTCTTGAGGACGGGAAAGTGGGACTTTTGCAAAGTCACTCGATTGCCGTAATTGAAAGGGAACCTGAACCCTGTTGTAGTCTAGCACTCAAACCAATATACCACACTGGCTCAGAGTTTTGCATACTGTGTAATTATCAAAAAGTATTTTCCAAGATTCAAATCTTTCTTTGGAAATTATTTTTATTGGAATATTTTTAAATAATTTGAGAGGCTAATAATCTATATTTATTTATTATTTTTTAATTTAGAATTTTTATATACCGGTCTTCTCAACCTCCGCAGAGGGACTCAGGCCGGCTCACAACAACAGATTCATAAACAATAGTTTAAAATATCACATCACATAATGCACTAATACATAAAATACATTAAAATACAATCATATAATTACATAAGGCCAAGTCATCAGAATGAAATCACAATTCATCACCATCTGTCCGTGTGGTCAAGAGTTATTGACTCACTCATTGAATGCTAAATTCCAGAGCCAAGTTTTCACCAGCTTTCTAAAAGTTAGGAGAGAAGGGGCAGTTCTAATCTCCAGTGGGAGAGAGTTTCAGAGCCGAGGGGCCACCATCGAGAAGGCCCTGTCCCTCGTCCCCACCAGACGCGATTGCGAGGGTGATGGGACCGAGAGCAGGGCCCCTCCAGAAGATCTTAATAACCTTGATGGTTCATAGGGGAGAATCCATTCGGACAGGTAAATTGGGCCGGAGTCATTTAGGGCAGGCATGGGCAAACTTGGGCCCTCCAGGTGTTTTGGACTTCAACTCCCACAATTCCTAACGCCTAACAGC